AAAAAGAAATGAAGAGAAGATATGAAAGCTCTTGATCCTAACTAAAAGGTTAAAATATCAACAAATATACGATTTGAAAAGTTCAGGACAGGCTGCTCTTTGTACATGTATACAAGTACATACAATTACACGTTTTCACATATATTTTTTTTGTGTTGTATTCATAGGTACAGAGAATACAATATTTATAAATAGAGAAAAGTTTGGAAAAGAAAAAAAAACTAAAGTTTCTTCCAGCAATTAACAATCATGGGAATAGTAACCATAAAAACCATAAAGCAATAAAGTTTAAACAGTCCTTTTATAAAGCTTTGACATTCATTTTATGTGGACGTACACTTGCATGTATATTCATATAAATGATGGTTTATAGATTTCTTGCTTCACTGCAGTCATTGTCCAGCCATGGCTGATAATTTTTACTTTTTAATGTAATTTATACTAAAATAAGGTTGCTTTAGTCAATCATTATGACTCGTATCAGACGGTGTATTTGAATGGAGTTTGTATTGCTTACTGGATTTTTTTAGAATCTTGAATCTTTAGAAATTTAATGACATCATTATGGCCAAAAACAGTTATTACACCGATATAAATGACACCGATACTTACAGAAAATTTTTCAACAATTTAAAAATCTTACTGTCAAATTTATGCTGCCAAATACAAACTCTACGCCACAATTAGTACGAGTCGTTTACCTAAATGATTGTTATACGTAAAATCTTTACTTTAAGAATCATCTGGCAGTGTTAGAAAGACAAAGTGTATTGGTTAGCACCTGACATAGATACATACAGTTAATTTTTTAAATCATTATTAGTGTAGCCTTCTGGTATGGTTTATTTATTATACAGTACGGCGTACAAAAAGATTTATTTCGAACTGATTTCTAGGTATTATTATGACAGGATACCAACAGTGCGAAAAGTATATGCTTTACAACCTGTATAAGAAAATAAGACCAGCATGCGGGCAGCTGGCCAACAACTTAATGACATAGTACCCCAATAAACTTAGGAATCGTGACATCAACTTTAACACCATAGTTGGAAAAGGGAACTCGAGGGTCCCTTAAAGCTTGCACAGGCACTTTACGATACCCAAGCGATTAGACAGGGAATGAACAAGAGTACACACACATTTTATTCTTTCACTTTATTGGTGATACGACAATACCATTGCCAGCGAGTCTGGAAAGCGTGAAATCAATGTTTATTGCCATCCGCGGGTGTATATAGATGCCAATGGATATAGAAAAAGGACTCGCTTCGTATATTTGAACATTTTCAATTTAAAACTTTTAACACCCAGTGCTTGCTCCCTTTCCCTTCCCACAGAACAGTTATGGAGCTCAGCTCAGCTCAGTTTGTGGAGCAAAGTTGTAGCAGCAGCCCCTGCGCAGCCTTTGCCTTTCCACCCATGATACCCTTCTTCGTTTAACTAGACCAGGTTTCGCTACTCTGCTGCCTCATCGATAATTACCCAAATTTTAATCCTCTCTCTGTATTTTTTTTCTCTGCAGTATATACATATATACGATGTATTTTATATCGATTACCATTATATTTGGATTCCAAATCATTCTTTTAATCAGGACGTAATCTACGTTCTAGACTCACTCAACGCACATTTAGACAACTTTTAGAACAATTCCATTTTGTGGTTATTTTGCGGAAACAAAATGAGATTTTTTTTTTTTACAGACATTTTTATCAAGTTAAGTTTTAGAGCTCAAAACTCATTACGAGGAGTAAAAATGAGTCCTTTTCGTTCTAAGTAATATGAAAAGAATAATCACCGAGTTTTTAAGCTGTTTTTTTTCATAAGAATGATGTATTCATTTACATTAGCATTAGGTAAAATAAAATAGATCTCTACCATTGAGAACGTAATCCAAGGGTTAATTATTAAGTGTGGTATAAAGTCTTAGAATACTCAATGAAACACGGCTTCTTAATGAAAATTAATAATTGGGGTATCTATTTTATAGAGATTTATATTAATGGATAGTAAAACATTAAATAAAAACGAGCTTATTTACTTCCTTATTCATTATTTATTTAATGATAAGAATGAAATAGCTGTTTTGGTATCTTCCTCAAACGTTTAAAGCTCAATACAAGTTAAGTAAAATTTGGTCTTACAAAATATAATTTCTCAAATCAACTACTCTTTCTTCTAAGTCTTATATTTTGTCTTCAGTATAATTATGCAGCATTTTAAAATTATTATTAAATGTAGAGTTATATTCTATTGAAAAAATAAATATGATTTCTTTTGTACAAAGTTTCATTCTGTATATTGTGACAAAAATTCTCGAGAGTTTACCAAAGTTTTATGGCTTCTTTTAATGTCAAAAACCTGTTTCCTAGCATTCCAGTGAAAGAGATTATACATGTGATAGAAAATTTCACCCGTAAAATTTGCTACTATATGCATAATTTCTTTAATTGGAATGCTGGGAAAAGTATTTTTAACATTAAAAGAAGCCATAATACTTTGGTAAGCTCTCGAGAATTCTTGTCACAATATACAGAGTGAAACTTTGTATTAAAGAAATTATATTTATTTTTTCAATAGAATATAACTCCAAATTTAATAATAATCTTAAAATTCTGCATAATGGACCAAAGGATTATGTAATAAACAGATATTGTTGATACCTTATACTGTTGAATAAGCCAAAATTTTTGTGAATTTGACAAAAATGTATAAAGTATGAAAAATTGATACATATCTATGGACTCCTTTCACTTGCTCCTTTGTCATCAAATGATATTGAAATGCAAACTTGGTAGTTGGGAGCATGACTATTTATTCATAATTCATTTACATTTATCAATATTTCGCTGACTTGCTGACAGCCTCTTCAGGATCAAAATCATGTTGGTGCTAACATAACACGCATCATGGACACCTATTGCACCTATAATATAACACTCAACAGGCTTTCACTTTTAATATGTCAACGCCGCCTTAATATCACTCTTTAGATGAAAAAATTTTTATGTTTATGACAGTAGTGTATTCTTAAGAACATGACTTCTATTGACCTAAGTAGAGTTTGTACATATATGGACTGAATTATAGGTGCAATAGATGTTCATGATGCGTGTTATCTATGATTTTAATTCTGAAGAGACTGTCAGCAAGACAGCGAAATATTGATGGATGTAAATAAATTATGAATAAGTAGTCATGCTTCAAACTACCAAGTTTGCATTTCAACATTATTATAAAAAATTGACTTATAAAGTACAACCCTTTTGGTCCATTGTTAACTAAAAGTGTAAATCACTTAGAAAATGAAATATCAAAATGCGAATTGTTTTGTAATTTAAAATGTCGTTTAAGGTTATAAGTGATATTTGTTAATATTTTTTAAGATTTCACACAGCTTGCAATACTTATTTCTTAATTTTCAATAAATTGTCTTCATTGTGATATAATAAGAATAAGAAAGTAGTATACAATTTTTTAAGGATCAATATAAATCAATTAATTTAATATTATGTGATTTTTTTGTTTGATATGTTGTCAATGTAGCAGGAAGAATTTAATGATCGCGCATGTTTTTTATCATGGCTTCATTTGTTTAATATAATTAAAACATATCATATGATACGTAGTATAGTCAAATAACGCTGTTTTAATTTAGGAATTATAATGATTGATGAGTACCGAGAGGGACATATCTGTAATTACGGAAAACGGTAATTTGTACAGTGCCGTTATGATTATCGTTATCAATATAAAGACTAATAATCGTGACACTTTAATTCAATTATTTGTTCCATGTAATGTTTTGGCTACAATAACGTGTGTTTTAATAAAAGTTTTAATAATTGTTGGAGAAATATTCATCCACCCCGAAGAAAAAACTATCGACTGGACGAAAATGAACGAAATTCATATCTACCCACGTTGTTAATACTACCCTTCAGAGCCTCAACTCAGGTAGAAAAATAATTTGTTACGCCGAAAACTCCCACTAAGAGATTCGCAAAACACCAGTCCTTGGACTCCCGGTTACTTGTATCACGACACCTACTACTTGCACTCAGCGCTCATTACAGTTATTACCGTGGCGTGAGATCGGGAGCATGCGATAGGAGGAGAAAAAAAAAAAAAAAAGAAGAAAAGCCAGATAAATACTTTGCTTGCTACACGAAGGCAAGAATCAACTTACCGCTCGATCGCCGAGGTTGCGGACCTTGCAGTGCAGGTAGGCTGTCTGGCCGACGGTCGTTGTGGTCTCACGCTTCGTCGAGTTGTCAAAGTACGGCGCGTTGAACGACTGATCCCAGTAGGCCGATGGATGGTGCTCCACTACTGTATTACCACCGTTGCTTATGCTCTTTGGCAAGCACTCTGCAATGGATGACAAAAGCCACATTAGTTTGTACATAGGACCTTACAGTTAGGACTTTTTTGGTGTTTCTGGTTGTTGCAACGTGAATGGTTGAAAAAAAAAAAAAATTATCATTGGATGACGTGAAAAAAAGTGTGTTATTAATAAGTTGATTCATGGAAAGCACAAATATAATGTTTCAATGTTGATAACTTAAATTTTTTAAATAATGTTTTAAACATAACGTTGTAACTGGTACATAAACTATTTTTGAAGGGTGGTGGATGAAGTAATCAATCTTACAATTTTTTGTCAATTGAGTCAAAGACTGCTGTTTTTCTAATGCGTGGGTGAAATGAAATTTTGGGCTTAACATAACTCGAGTTTCAATCGAGAGCTTTATTGCCTTCCATGTAAGATCGATCGGCCAGTAAGCCGATCCATCGTTGTATCCTGACAATGACAGACGTTTCTATTTATATCGACAGGAAATCGGTGTTTTCGTTTCACCATACTTATTGGTAATCACCTTGACAAGTGTTGACATGTTTGACTTTTTCTTATATTCTCAGTTGTTTAGAACAACGTATGCGATTGATCTTAGTTGATTTTTACCCCGATAAATGAACTCTCCTTGTTACCTTAATCTAAATTAGACCACCCATTCAATAGTCAAAGTATTTTCTCATTTCATTGCCTTAAATATCATTCTAAACGCGGAATTGAGGGTTATATATAACATCACTGAGTTTAAATAAAGAAAAAAAAAATAATGTCCACATCAAAATCTGCTAAGGCATTAAATTATAATTACTAAGTGATCTTTTTTTCCATTTTCTTATTTTCTTTCAGCTCTCCTAGCACCAAACTATAGAATCGATCACGTTGGGCACTGTCCATAATAAATTTGTTAGAAAGAACAGGCTAGCATTGAGGCAATGAGATGAGTGCTAGTATTAATGGCAAGTTTATGATTTGTATGATGGCGATAAGACGAAAATTCATATCGTAAGCTTCAGCCAATTCTAATTGGAGTAATTGTCACGAAAGCTTCGGGCGATCGAATGCATGATGGACATAATTTTAAGGCTTTGCAGGATTTCTGGTGAGCCCCACGTAATTGCCTTGACATACATTGTTTTCGAGCTGTTTATGTCGACTCCTGGACATTACGTTACGCAAAAAAGGTGGTGAAACAAGCGCCTGGCTTTCTATGACGTGTCGAATCAATGGCTCGCAGTCCAATTAGCCGATGCTGACTCTAGATTTCTTACTATAGCTCGAATTCGCTGTGTTTCTCGTAATTAGGTAACGAGATTACTCGGCTATATAAAGTAAACGGGGCACAACCACCAGCTAAAGAGGGCTCGCTGAAATATTGACAAATCGATTATTTTTAGTATATTCTCTTTTTCACTTGACTAAGATTCGCTTTGTTGGATCTCATATTTTTGAAGTAAGTTTGGCTAACAAAGTTCGTTGATGAAATTAATTATTTCACGGGTTTCAACTAAGTTTACGTGGCATCATGCATCGTAAAAATTTTTAAAATTAATGTTGCATGTATATAATAACGAATAATTAACTTCCGTTGCAAACGTCAATAACAACAGTGTAATAATATAACCCCAACAGTATAATAATATAACCCCATATAATTCAGTAATAATTATTATTTTGGTAATCAATTGTCTAAATTGATAGCAAAGATTACCGTTAAACGAATGCAGGAAAAAAAATTTTGGAGCTCAGTTTGTATGAAAATACTCAAGACTAAGAACTTACACTTCTTTTTGGTACGAGATCAATACCGTGTTAAAGCTTGATTTTCTATGAATTTGAGTCATTCATTAAATGAATTTGAGAACTCTAAAACATTCCAACTATTGGAAATCGTTAATGTATATTTTGACTTCTACGTTAACGTGAATGTTGCAAAGTTTCTAAATAAATTACGAAAAGCAGTCGAGCGTCAGAACTGCACTATTCTTATTGTCACTAGTAGTACTGATATGAAATTTACTTATAAATCATACTAATCTTTTCGAAATTGACATTTTTTGATAACGTATGGATTTATTTTAATTTTTTCAAATCGAACAAAAAGAATCGTGTAAGAACAAACAGCATTTTTTAGTTGTAACAGCTGGAAGTTTGCTAAACTCAAAACTTTAAGTAGAACATGTACATAAATGGTCAGGCACAAAAAGAAAACTAAGTTTATTAATATTTCTCAGTGCATTTGCAATTGAAAAGAGTTTTTTGTAACTATTCATTGATCGTTAGAACTGGTATTTGCATTGGCGCAACATTAGTATCACCAGTCTTTTATTTAAAATAAATTGCTTCAAATAGATGACTTACACGTCACCGATATCATTCCCAGTTGTCACATCTTTTGGACAGTGCCAGTGACAATCAAAAATCTGTCTAGCATTGGAAACAGGAAGAGCTATTGGAACTTCAGAAAGTTCCTTTTCTCTGGAGTCTGACCATCCTGATCTTCGATGCATGAGTCGATTTGAATGTAATACGTGCCGGGTGGCTCGCCTAGCTATTTGTCTGGCCAGTCAACCAAAACTCACATACGGCAAGCAAATTCTCTTTTTTCCTGTACCTCCTCTTCTCTTCGAGCTCTAGTATAGAGAAACTGTGATTTTCAGTGGGAAAGATGAAATTTGGTGTTTGACCCAATTTGTGCGTGACAGTTTTGTAATTGAGCTCTTCGCATAGGGCGTTTTGGGTACTCAGTCGTTTTTTACGAATACTTTGGCAGTCACTTTCCAAGAGATTTGATCTGCATGATTATTATAATTATTAAATTATTAAATAAGTGTACTTATCAAAAATTTACATACTCCGTAAGTATAATGGTATTAATGAGTTTTAATAGTAGAATATGTCAATGTTCCGTCAGAGATGATATACTGTTACTTTATGATGTATTTTAAAGTCTAAATAACAATTATCAAAGGTCATAGGAAAAATTGTACAGAACAAGTGCTTTAGAATTTTATTTTATTCTGACAACGCTTGCGTACCGTACATGATATGAATTTAAATTAAAATATTTTTCAAACAAATTTAACAATGAAAGCTGCTGTGCATGTGAAGAAAGTGTTTGTAGGTAAACCTTTCATTTACTACAAAAAGAGTATGTACTTCTATGAGAGGTCAAATTTTAATATTCCTTAAGTTCATACTTAATATTAATTCAATTTAATTGCAAAATTTAATAGATAAAATAAAATACTGTCACACATTTTTTTTTTCGAATAAAACCAAACTATTGTTATTGCGATTGAAATTAAGAACCAAACCACCATTACTCTTCCAATATCTGCAAGTGTGTATACGTAGCAATTCCTTTTATATTTTATTTTGCTAATGAATCTTTTTTGGCAAAAGTACCAAGCTTCTTTTATCGTATGTACAGCTTTTGTATGCATATTATAATTAACGTGTAATCTTATGTCCTGCAAACAATCTGAAATATTTTTTGCTTAGAATCTACTTTCTTCCCAACTAATTAATTTATACTTCATTTAAATATCCTTAATTAGCAGTATTTTGTTAGCAGGTTCTACCAATCGTAAATTAGCTGAATTACTAAAGCAGCAGAGATCCAATAATATAACAAAGAAAGATAATTAAGTTATGACCTTTTTAAAGTTACAGATTTTTTCATATTTATAAAGAAGCTGGTTTATCCATCATCACTATTACTTTTCAGCTGTTGTGTTTGTATAATATTTTTGTCTAGCTTAAAGTTTTCCACAGAAAATACAACCTACAAGACATTTATATTCAATTTATCTACTTAGCTGACTCTTTCATGAGCAACTTTTTTTTCAAATAAGCTTACTTATCATTTCAAAGGGTTTTTCGTCTCAAATATTAACACAATTGACAGAAAACTCATTTATACCTATCTGGTTACTACGCTAAAATACTCGGGTCCTTATTTACACTTTTCCGCTTCCATCCAGAAAAAGTAATAATCAGGGAGCAAAAGCGCTCGTCGTAGACTTCATTTACTCTTTTTGAGGCAAACATTTTTCAGCTCTTCAAATAGCTGAGAGCCGAATTTTTTTACACGCATAATTTTAGAAAGAGAAAAGGACTCGAGGATGAGTAAAAGAGCGCAGTAAAAGAACAGGAGAGAGGGAGAAGCGTTTCTTCAATTTCATATTACTTAAGTCAATACGACGAAATCGGTAATGAAAAAAAAATAAATAAGTAAAAAAAGAAAAAAACAAGGAGGGCTTCTATTCAAACAACTTTTATGCTGGGTTATTGATTCGTCACATAGGAAAAGGGAGATGGGGTAAAGCGACAAAGATTATATCAGCACTTAGGTTAAATGGAGGTTTGATTGAAGAAGCAGATGAAGAGTTTTGATATTGTGATCGATGCCAACGTAAATATCCTGGGAGGAGATAGTTGCAAGGCTGTGTTATCTCATTTACATGTAATTGATGTAAATATGCCTTCGTGCTTTCGAAATTCATGTCTGAATATTAATTGACACCTCTAGCGACTCAGGTACACACAAATACTATACTTGCACTTAGCTGCTCCTCTTGTACGAGGAAGCACTTGGCATACGATACTAAATAAATCTCTGTTTTCTCATTCTATTCTCACAAGATTAGATGTAGGTGAGGATACGGGAGAAAGGATCGTCTTCTCTTGGCACGTCTTCTCTACTTCCCGCAAAGGGTAAGGTGGATGGAGAAATGTAGCTATATAGAGATGTGCTTACACGATCGTCGAGCTGCGAATGAAATTTTAATGGAGACGGGGTATGGGGTTACAGTGAGGAGACCAACAGTAATGGTCGGGTCTTAATTATGGCATGAGACGAGCTGTAGTAAGTGATAGCCTCGTCTCCAGTATTTAAGTAGAGACGGTAACGTGTGTACTGACAAAGAGAATATTGAGCTTTATTGGGACTAAGGTAATGTAGGAATGCAAAGATAATTAAAACTTGATTACTTTAAGGCACACTTATAAAAAA